TTTTTTTAGGCAGCATAAACTCTTAGGCACCCTTTGAATGCCAATGTATTATTTATTATTAAAATATACCGTACAAATAACGATTTGTTAAATTCATCAAACACTCACATGGGCTGTGCATACATACATGTACTTCTATAGCACCCAGTTGATTAATAATTGTAATAATTTATAAATGACATCAAATACAGCAATACTAAACTTGGCAGAAATTGGAAAATGAGTATTGCATTATCAACCATATTTATCAAATAGGTTCTGGATTTAAAGTGAATGACTAATAAATTGGATGTTACATTACTTGGCAGAAATTGGACAACAGGTATTAAATTATTAACCATATTAACTACCTAGGTTCTTGATTTAAAGTGGATGTCAAATAATTTGGACTATTTATTATAAATAAATTAATTGGATGCTGCATTTCTTGGCAGTGATTGATCTGTATTTTATTACTGCAAATACTTCACCTTGGTTGAAACTTTCATAGGACTAAACACAAGAGGATAAAGAGTAGATGAATTGTAATTCAATTTACAATTGTTGAATATCTCTCCTATGTGCATTAACTTGCTGTCATTCATGATATATTACTTTTTTTTGCTATTAGGAAAATGTTCACTTATATTGCTCAAAGCATGCTTCTTGTGAGCTTCATGATCAAAGTATGTACATTCAGCTAAATTACATCTACATCAAATTTTACAAGTTTCAGCTAATTAATATTTATATGTAATTAATAAATTATATAATATGTGAAATAATTATGCATCTGAAACTGAAATCAATAGAAATCAATGATCCAGTAGCTGTATGGATGTATTTGAATGTGTTTTCTCTAACACTAAGAATTTTTTTATTATACTGTTTAAAGATGATCACAAAAAATATATGCAATAAGGCAGCACAAGATCACATTCATGCCTGTATACTTTGTGCTATTCTTGTAATAACTTAATCAATAAAATACAAGATATCCACCTGCAAAAACTGATCTTTTTCATAAAAAAAATGTTGAAATTTATATTTCAATTCAGTTCAATGTTATTTTAAGGTCATTCATTCATTGACTTAAAAAACACAAAAAAGTAAGTGGAGTGAAAAAAATACACATCACAATAGGACAATTTATTTTGTGAAGGTTGTACAGCATACAAAAAGAAGGTATATTAAATGGATAATGCACACGTTGCATCTATAATGCTTTGGTTTCTATATATACCTAATCGATATGCAAACCACATCATCTTAATTCCCACTAGTTATTTTATTGCACATGTATACACAGTATACAATGTAAGATGTCAATAACACAGGAATACACCTAAAATAATTTCATCTTTCCTGTTTTTATAATGCCAGGTATACACAATAGTTTCCTTGGAGACAAGACAAGGTCAAGAAACGTCTTTATTATGAACATAATAGATCTAGAAATGTGCATGTGTCCAGCATAGGTAATAACTACAGTAAAAGATTACATTTCAGTCAGGATTTTGTCATGATGTGGGTGTGTCACATAAAAAGAACTACCGTAGTTTTAGAAATCTTGCCTTTATAATTGTTTTCACCATGAATGCTTCAATGCACTTTAATTATTCACTTAGTTTTAATTTGGCTATTTTCACTCAAATTTGCAAAATTGGATGATATTTGAAATATCAGAAATTATGTTCATTTGGTTCAAAACTAACGAAGAAATAACAAAAATCATAAAATTTAACAAAATGTTGCTGCAAATTTTTGGGGGGAAATTTTTAAGAGAAAAGTAAGGAATAATAAATATCAAAAAAAATGAAATAAAATTGAGAATCAGTACACAAACACTGGAGTAATATTTTCAATCATAAGTGATTTCATAATTTGTTGTTCATATGAAAATTTTTGTCAAATAAAGTGAAATAAATATCAGTAATATTATCAATCAAATAGTGAATGATAAATTAAGTGAATTGGACACTTTAGGCAATAAATTAATGAAATGCTCTCTACAAAGCAGAGGTCATTGACATTACAATATGGTGAAGATGATGAATAGAAAGTAATGAAAGCAGTAACTACCAGCCAGTTTCTACAGTACTAAATATCGACTCTCGTGTGATAAAGCTTCAAACCATGATGATTTTATCAATTTAAACCAGTTTAAATGCAGTGGATTTTAATAATCCAATTATACCATTCGATTTCTGAGTTGAGTTCTTTCTCTGTAAAATTATTTCTTTGTCAATAATTGTTTAGGTTGCAAATACTATAAAGATATACCAGCAAACTGTTCCACCATAAATAATATTGATATTATGATATTTTGTTCACATATCTATTGTTATCAATATTAATATTAATCTCAACTCTAATTTTTGCATTATTTTCTAATAAATTTTGATTATGATGTGTAGAAAATAGTGGATCGCTCAGAATTCAAAAAGCTTACAAAAATTAGAAGGCGAGATAAAATAAAGAAGTTAATTTAGGGAAAATCTCTACTTAGATATAATCCATGCCATAGGGCAGAATTACAATATTGCAATTACCCTTCATTCAATGTTTAAACAGTAGCTAATTATAGTCACAATGTATAGATATTTTTACAGTGTAAACTGCTGGAGATTTAAAAGAAATCCCCCTAGACATGGTAGCACAAACCTAATTTGTCTAATTTAGAAGGCCAGTCAATAAGATTAGACACCATTTAAGAGATTCAGTTATATACTTTACAACGTTCTTTGAATTAAAACAAGTGTGGGAACAAATCAAAAAAATCAGCTCATCTTTTATCATTTTATGAAGGAAAAACAGGATCAAGATAAAAACCATAACTGATAGAATATGGATTTTCTATAAAAAATATTGTCTGAGTTTTTTAGCCAACACAATCACCCAGAATTTCATGTTTACTCCATCTAATTTTTGTTATTGAAAAAAAAAAATTATGCCAGTGTAATTTCTTGCTACAGATTTAAATATACCATTTTTTCTCCTAAAATTTGATGAAGGAAAAAAAATGAGCATATCAGATGTTACTTACTTAATAAAATCTCCAATTACAATCTGCTAGCATTTTACAGTAAATGAAGGAACTCAGATTTTACCGTAACATATCTACACAATTATAAATTCTGTAAACCTGTATTTTTTATGTAAAGACACGTTATCACATGATTTCATAAAATTCAAATTAGTTTACTGTAAAATAATTTATTTTAGCTGGAATTAAACTTCGCTGAAAAGACTTTTTAGGTGTTTTGTATGAAATTTATTTTCACAGTTATTTGACGAGTTGAATGTAAACTATAGTGAAAAAGGTATTTTTGCCAGATTTTATTTTCATTCCTTCAGCGAAAATAGCGAAAATTAATTGCATGCAAAAAATAAAGTATTTTACAGTAACTCGACAATTGGTTATTAATTTGTTTTAATGTTTTCCGGTTATTTCGAATGACATATTTACATCCATCATTTTAATTACTCTAAATCATTCCCATCACACTTTGCTATAATTTACTAATTATTCTGTATGCTAAATTCTAATTTTAATTTAATATTATATTACTTTAATAGTGGTGCAACTTAATACTTTAAACATATTAATTATCAATTTTTGCATGAGGTATGTACAAGGTCAATATACTATAGACAAAAATAGTTATGTTAACCTTTTCATCACCAGTTCCCTCTTTTCATCACAAATTAACAAAATAGTGCTGTTTATAGTCTGCACTTCAGAAGATTGGGACAAAAATAGTCAAATTCTTTTAGTAAAATTTAAAAATTGACTCAAATTTTGTCTGCTGGCTTCAAAATTTGGGTTCACTTCCAGAAATATAGAAGAATATAAAGAAAAATTGTAGAAACATTTGAGCAAGAAAATCTGGGAGTGAAAAGTACAAGACAAATCATGAGTTCGTCTGATAACACAGTATTTTCTCCAACATTCCATAAACAGCTCACAATTGTCATAAAGTCTCTTTGATATCTGAGGTTGTTGACTCTTAAATCAACCAACAAGGTCTTGATATCAGTGTCTTTAAGGTTAACACAGTATTAAAATACAAATTGTCATCGAGTATTTTGATTTGAAAAAATATGGCACCAGCAAAAAAATTAATCTTTCGTTTTTTTTAAATAGAAACCACCATACTAAAAAAATCATTAGGGATTATTTCAAAACTTGCAGAATCCCTGTGTATTATAACGTCCTGATTTTATTGCTCTACATAGTTTAATGATTGATTACTGTATTCAGTACTAATGCCCTAAAGCATAATGATATTTGTTTTTTGTCATCCCAGACACTGTTACGCGGTGACAACTGACAATGTACTGATTTGTAGATTTTTATCAATCGAACAAACAAGGTGAACAGTAACAAAAAAACATCCTAAATTGATATATTGTATCACCTGTTAATATGGGCCACTTTTGCCTGAGTCACTCGTCTCAAATACAGTGACACATGCAGAAGAAAAAAAAACAGCCTGCTGGTTATTTCCTTTCATACCAAACATTGTTTAGGATTGTCTGCTTCTTGTCCTGCCAATTTTATTTAAAAAAAATGTAACCTTTGATCGTGAATATAGTGACATTGGTGTACAACAGGGGTGTGGAGTTGGGTATATATCGTCATTTTGAATATTGCAATTATCAATAATTATTATTTAAACAATGTTTCAAACCAAATTTATTTTTGGACTACTAACACTCCACCAATGTTAACTTTTCCCTACTGTACTGAAATTTATCACTACACCAACACTAAAATAGTTTTAATCTCTCACAGACACATTTATTTGTTTGAGGTTTTTAACAAAACTCAAGTTCATTATTAATATACTTGCAATATTAAATGCAAGTTACGCATCAAAGGACCATTCAAGTTCATTTTGCATGTATTTATACAATGTATTAGAGGTGTATTTCATGGTGTGTACACTCTTGCAATGACATCTGAACTATTAAACTTTTGAACTTTGTGAACATTTATATGTGTTGCTTTTCATTACCTGTAATTTGCCTTGTTCTTTCTTTATACCTGCTTCCATAGCAAAATGGAAAGCGGCCAAAATCTGGGCTTCTCGTCGATCGCATGACAGCAATGGCACCAACCGCTTCAACCAGTCTCTACCTCTTCCCTGGGCATGGAATTTATTGCTTTTCGCGAATTCAACAGGGTCATGCGAATTAACAAATGGTTCAATTAAATCTAATGTTCCCGAATTGACAACAGCTTTTTGAACATCTTTATTGGCAGCCAGGAGTGAGATAGCAAGGCATGCATAATATTTAATATTATCATCTTTACTGAAGGCAAGTGGGAACAACCACTCAGGGGCGTGGTGTTCTATCATTCTGCGTTGATTGGCAGGTCCGCCATACATAGCACAATTTGCTAACGCTGCAGCACAATGCTGGAGGACTATATTATCACTTAGTCTACAGGAGTACAGGACAGCTTGTAAGCCACCTAATTCAATAACACGAGAACAAGTGTCTTCATTGTGTTTAAACATACTCTCCAAAATGCCTGTACCGATTTGCATCAGTAGTAATTCTTCTCGAGAACATGCCAGACGCACAACAGATTCAAGTCCAACATTGGCGACATAATCACGGTTTTCAGTAATTAATACTTGCTCTAAAAGCTGTGCTGAACTGTGTTTAAGATTTATGTTTTCTGATTTGCAATTTTCCAACAGTATGTCTAACCCTCCTTCCCGACGCAGGGTATTACACAAATCATACGCCATATCACGACCATATATCGGAGTAATCCAGGCATTATCCACCTGTATGTAGAGATCTTTGGTTGCTTGAATAACCACACTAACATCGGTGTTTTTCAATTTTATAACCAGCTCAGCTACCATTCCATGCACACGCTCTACCTGGCTTTCAGCCTCACTCAGCATCTCTGCTTTAGTGTCCATGTCTATGTCTGCAGACGCTATTTTCTTCAATTTCATTCGCCGTTCCATGATCCGTACAGTGTGTTCCCCATTGCTGGTCGACCTTTCTATGCTGGTAGTGGTCGTATAAAAGGATGAATCTTTTGTTGAATACACATTCATTGTACCGCCGTCAGCTGATGTCACTTCAACAGACTGTATAGGCTCAATTGATATATCACTAGAGAATACCGGCCCGGGCAGCTCGACAGAGCGCTCGGAGTACATCTTTGCCGACGAATCCATCTGAGTTTCTTTCTTCTGTTTCTCCGATCCGACGCAACTTCCCATACAATTAGTAGTCAGTCAACGCTTCGGCTCGCTGGACGTCACCGAAGTACATACCATTGACTAAAAATAAAGCAATTATTTTTAGAATACCGCCGTGTCACTCAAATCAATTAAAAAAACGCCTACAATTTCATCATGCCGGTGAACTGTGCAATTTTACCTTCGGTCTGCTTTCCCGACTCGAAGTTCTTTGGATCAGCGGATATCCTCGGTTGCAATATGTCTGCATAATGCTCCATCAAGCATACCGTGCACGTTACTGGGGATCTCTTAGTGATGTAGCTACTACGCCCATCATTAGGATTTCATTCATAATTTGCACACAAGAATATCACCAACAAACTTTTTCAAAAATATGTACAATGTCCGACTTTAAAGTAAAATCCAATCCTTGCACAGACCATTTATGCACTACGCATCTGAAAAAAAAAGGAAATACAACCGAACAACATCTTCTGAGAGCAGACGAAGAACTTCAAAAAGAAAAGTGATGTGAGCCCTCACCGGTGACCGAAACGGAAGTAGTTATAGCAAGGTCGTCGGTGAAGTAGTATTGAGGACGAATCTATCGCGATCACAGAGAAGAAAGTTCGAGTGAATGGTCTGTATTTTAATATTTGAGCTGGAGTTATTACATATCAATATATGTATTGAGAGAGCCAGTACACTGCGCAGGTAAATCAACGACTCGTGAATTTGAAATTAATAGCAAGCGATTGTTTCTCGCCAGGCTCCTTTTGTAGTACACATGTTCATGACCCCTTTTTGCTAGAAATTTCTAGATAGTGGTCAAAATAGTTGTTGAACATGTATCCCACTTTATTTATTAGACATTATAATAATGTGGTTTGTCTTAAATTCGTGATCTTATTGTTTGACCCACGCAAATCACCTTTTGGAGTTGAGTTATAACTCGGACCACTATTTCTTATAGTGGCATGAGATCAGATATAGGCATAGCGCCGACCACGGACATTTGACAGAGAAAAATTCACTGAATCGTATAGGTAATAACAATAATAAATCGAATAAATTATTGACTAGATATTATATAATCGTGATTTATTTCCAAATAAATAAAATATGTGTATTCATGATTTTCAGAAAGAAAAGAAGGTTATACATTTGCAGCCTGTGATTTAATTCGAATGCCCATTTAGGACAGCTATAAACAGCTAATAATTGGTTTAGTATGCAACATACAGGCAGCTTTCAAATGATTTTATTCTATAGGACATGATGTATATGATTAACTGCTATTACTGCAGAAATAATTGTGCACGCATTAACAACGGCAATATGCACTAAATACTGTAAAACATGATGAAAAAGCGACTTGCAATTTTAGCGAATTGTGGTAAAATGACGTAATAGTGAAATGTTGATTTAGCAAAGAAAAACTGTCAAGTATAATTAGTTCCGGATTACTGTATACGAATCTCCAAGCCTTGGCCATTTTGAATTTATAATAAAATCATTAGCGACATCTTGAATTAGTGAATTAGTTCTCTCACTAAATTCACTAAAAAGACATGCTCATGAAATAGACATGTTTTACAGTAAATGACATGAGATTTATCTTCTTCTTTTTTCTATTTCTGGGTCAGCAACAGCTACTTGACTAACAATAGCAACAAGAGAGTGGTCAAGACAAGAGTTATTCCATTGTAGTTAGTATTCCACTGTACCAGACCAAACCAGACCATAGTGTATCATATACCAAAGTATAGCATACCATCAAAACAGACCATACCATATATACAAGGACACAGCAGAGAATAGCCTTGAAGCAGGAAACAATGGCAGATAGTATGAACAATTTGGGAGGCACTACCTCTGTGACATCACAACTGGATGGACTTGATATGCAGGCGTCAGGCTGGCATCACAGTGTGCCTGAGTCAATGCCATGGATGACTAAACAAACAACAGGATTTAATAATTCTCATATCCCACTACAGTAAGTTCTTTTCATATTACCGTAAATAGATATATATATATATATTATATATCTGACACTAGAATTTACCGATCCATAACATGCTATACATACCGTAAAATCTGTATTAGAAGCCGCATCCCTAATAGAAGTCGCATCCATTCTTTTTAAATAATTGAGAACCAAAAATTCATCATTTCTCATATGTGTAGATGCTCTAATAGAAGCCACATCCCCTCTGTTGCATTCAGCCGTGGCTTCTAATACAGATTTTACAGTAATCGTTCGAATGTCTTCCTAATTTGGAAATTATGAATCAAGTTTACATCACATTTGAACACTTTTCTTTCTTTACTTTCGACGAAGAAATGTGATGGAAATTGAATCCTGTCACTGAACTCAATACTAAACATTTTTCGTCGCTATTTCAGACTGTTATCTGTCATTAAAGTATTACCGGTACTACTCGCAGGGAAAAGATGTATAGTACGGATAATAAGATTATCATGAGAATACTACAAAGTATACATTGATTGATACGATCACTGTACTCCCTTTGTGCATATTTTGTGTTATTCTCTAATATCCTCAATAAATTAAATGATTAGTTACTACCAAATATTTTTACTTTTTCACAAAAGCATGACGTATGTAACACTTGCTCAAGTGAATTTGACAAACAGAAAGTCGATTAAATGGCATTATGGTTTATCACTTAATTAAGTACATGTATACATACAGGTTGACTCCAGTGTAGTTCTATATTATAAACTGAACACCAAACTTTCTTGCAGAAATTCAGCAACTTCACCTATAACTAATGTGTTTAAAAGAAAATCAAGATCACCATTGAAAAGACAAAGGTCACCAGTTATTGGGGAGTAAGTATTAATATTTGCAGTACTATACTAGTCTACCGGTATTCGCTGAAAGACCAAAAAGTGAAGAGATGGGTGCTTAGCCAAACATGACTTCAAGAATAAAAATGCCCCAAAATTTGCGGGTGGGCACTTAGTCAATCAAATTTATATAATACATGTAAATATCATGCGAATGGCTAGATCATGGTAATCACGTGTAAACTATGCTTTGACAATTACTTGTTAACAACCATGAAAGGTGGTAAATACTTCATTCTATATTCCTTTTACCTTTCAAAATTATAATTTTTCTTAAAAAAATCATTCCTTTTTTTTTGTCGAAATCAATTCCAAAAAAACATACTTCGACAGTAATAATTCACTTCCATATTGCGTTACCAAAATGGTTTTGGGAATTCCTGCTTCTGTACAACACTCAATTTTGATTGGAGACATCCACCTAAAAAACATGATTTCTAAGTCAGACAAGTATGGTAGTTAGCATGTTTGCCTCGCATCAGCAAAGTTCTTGGTTCAGTTCCCGGAGCCAACTGACTTTACTGTTCACTATGCTTCACTAAAGAGTCTGCTCGGCTTACCAAGGCTGGTTTGCACATGCACATGCAGTTAGCACTAAACAAAACACTGAATTATAAATTCACATTGAGTAAAGATAATCACATCTGGTTGTACAGCATTCATCATATTTGGACAAAGATTAAATTGACGACAGATATGATATTCTGACAAATGTAAATACTGTAATTCCACTTAATATATTCACAAGGGAAAAATATCACAAGTTTAATAATCAACAAATATTGTCACAGTAAAATTTCCACTGGGATCTTAAAATATAGCATGTCACAGTGACTTTCCCAAAATGTTGTCATCAAGGGGTGGACAGACCATTAGAAATTCCAGTGAAATAACAAGTTTTACTGTAATTTTACCGGGACTTAGTTCAGTAAATTTTACTTCTTCGCAAAAATAGCAAAATTAAAACCTAGTGAATAATTAATTAATTTTTCGCTGTATGAAATTTATTTGTTACTGATTTTTGATGAGTTAAACATCAAATTTAGGGAAAAAGTTTTTTTTACTGGATTTTATTTTCACTTATTCATCCCTTTAGCGAAAATAAATTTCAAGTGAAAATTAAGTACTTTACAGTAATTAAATAAATCTGACATGTTTTAAGCATATCTAAGACTGTTTAAAAACAATGGTCATTTTTCAATTTAAAATAATAGGAATTTTTTAATGTGATTGGAACCTTCATACAATTCAAACAAAAGTGGGAAAACATTAGATACCGGGTATTATTGATCCGCATATTGCTTTGTTCATCTGTCCATGCATTGACCTCAAGTTCTGTCTGTTTATCGTCCGATTACTGGGTAGCACGATATCATTCCACCAATGAGAACATGCCATTTCAATAATTGACAATGCAATGAGTTATAAAGATTTGACAACCAAAAATTACCATGAGAGAACAAAAAGTTAACAATATGGCTGTCAAAATAGTTGGGGTTTACCTCGCTCTTTATATTTATTATATTTCATTCATTTATCATT